TACCATCTGCTCAAATTTGACTCGGACTGCTTAATTTAAACTGTGTGCGCAAACCAAATTAATATAAAAAATTCCGAGACCTTGTTTAATATTTGTGTGACGTTCGGTCTCCATATTTGTCCGTATCTAATTTGATCAGATGGTATATCGATTAGCTTTAATATCTCTATAATAGTGCCGAATGTTATAGCCTCACAAACAGCAATTACCAAATAATTTGGGATTAATGCAAGATCGTTCAGTCGGAGATACAGTCAGCGAGATTAGAGATAGAGGGAGATTAAGACAGATATAGATAAGGTTTAAGACAGAAAGATATAGAAACAGAGAGATATGAAGATAGAAAGAGAAATAAATAAAGATATAGACAGAGAGATATATAGATAGAGACGGATATAAACAGAGAGATATAGATTTAAAAAAAGTAACAAATAAAAACGGAAACAGGAGGTATAGACACAGAGAAATATAAGAATTGAAAGATAGAAACATAAGGAGAGAGGACGAGAGATAGATAAAGAATTACAAGAACAAAGAGAGAAATGGACCATGATAGAAACAGATAGGGATAGTGGGAGATAGAGAAAGAGAGAAATAAAAATGAAGAGAGACCAAGCACTCCATGTATACAAAGTAAATTTCTTTCCAAAGCCAGATAAGTGCTTATTTCGGCTTACAGGGTGTAAAAAATGAGATTCGGTGACACAAGTGTCGAAGATAAAATAGAATATGTGTATGATAGTTTGCATGCAATATACATACATATAGGAGACTGTTAGGCAGGTGTTATTGTCTTTAGAGCATATATATCAATGAATCTAATAAGTCTACTTACTTGTATACATTTAAATATTTTTCATACCATTAATTCTAAGCTCGAAGTATGCGTCAATCTTCTAATGAATTACGTGACAAATCTTGCGACTAGTGAGCCTCTCAGGTGCCAGAATTTATCTTAAAGATTATAGTTTCTTAACTCTCATTTATTATCAAATTATATTTCTGGTTCAACAACAGTGTGTTATAATAACAATGACAGTTATAATAAATGTACAAAAACCAAATCTGAAAAGCCTCGCTAATAGCGCTTAAATTTTAGCACATTCCCGAGTATTCAAATGCCAACAAAAGCGTCGCTTTATCAGGGTGCCGTGTCAAACCGAGTGAATAAAATGAGTGACAATGACGGGCGCGTTATGCAGCAGAGACCGCAGCCATTTAAAAGCGTTTTGACAAAAAGCCAAGTGCATTAAGCGAACAATGCCAATGGATATAGCAACGCAGGAAATAATGGCAATGACTGTCATAACAACTACAATTGTGAGCTGAGTAAATGTACGACGGCAGAAGAGACTGATATTTCAAGCGTCACTTTTGGCGTGCACTGGACTTGCAACAAACGACCCCGCCGTTCGAGTGCGGCCTATGAGATTTTTATACCCTGCACAGATTATATACAGTTTGTAACAGCCAGAGGTAAACGTCGGAGATCCCATAAAATATCTATGGTATACAAATGATGAACGTGACTGGTTATAATCCAAGCCAATGCTACAATTTCCGAAGAAATGGTTCAGATCGGTTCACTATATCATATAGCTGCTATACAAATTGACCGATCAAATGCAAGATAACATCTTTTCACACACTTTTAAGCTAATTTTAAGAATGGCACCTGTGAAGGGTATTTATAGCTTCACTGCATTTAGTGTTAACATTTTTTGTCTTTTACCGCCACTTGCCATTTGAAATGTGCATGAGCGCGAGGCTTTTATTTCACTTTTGGCGGCTTTGTTGATGATCGCCATCGTCGTTGTCGTCTGCATGTAGAATTTTTGGCGGCTGCAGCCACAAAATGATGCCGCTGCTGTTTTGTATTTATGTGCCTTTTAACATTTCAACATTTTACCACATTTTTATACACAAGATATACGAGCAATCAGTGTCAGCAAATGGGCAGCGCCAAAGAGTATCAACCGACTATCAACGTCACTTGCGCAACGCGCCACAATTCGTGCTTGTGTATTTCATAACTCTGTGTGAGAGTGTGCGTGCATTCGGCTCTCAGCTTGATTGTCTCGGCGCATTGGCACAGTTTTGGCTCTTCAAAAAGTTTATGATTTCGTTAGCCTTTAGTGTGGCGAGTCAAAAGTTTAAATTGCCAATGGGCAGATAAGAAATAAAATGCATCAGCTGGCCAGCAGGCACACACATTCACACAAGCATATATGTGTGTATGTGTGTGGCATGTAAACAACCATAGTGATGATGTGGCATTTTGGCAACGTTGTTCTGTACCTCCATATGCTTCCTTTCCTTTCTCTGGCTTTAGTTGTGCAAGCAAATTATTGCCTAGAAATAAATGTCAGTTGCCATTGGTGGAAATGTTTTCGCATTACCAACCCTTTCTGCTGATTTTTTTTTTGGATTTTGGGTTGATTTCGCTATGAATATTCGAATTTACGACACGCAATTTAGTTGGTGGGACATAAATATTTCATATTGAAAGTGGCGCTGCCACTTCAATTTAATGAAACACCATATGGCAGACACTGCGTGTGAGTAATTTTTTATATATTTTTGTTTAAAATAAATTTGTGTGCGTATATATTATATGTGTGCTGATATTATAAGCACTTATGTTCAGCAGATCTTTATATTATTCAGTGCAGCATAAATTTTTAAAATTTGCAAACCTTTTGCATCCATTTCTTAATAAACTCCACATTTTTGGCCTTGAATAATACGAAATAGTAGTGCCTTCTTTTCAAGAATTTGTGGTTTGGAAATTCTAATAACTTTAACCGAATATGGTGACCACAGCGCCTGTGGGTAAATTTTATTGTAAATATCGGTCAAATTGTCAGATATATTATTACAATTAGAAGAGAGTCTCTTTCTGTTAATAGTGTGCTTGTATGTCAAAAATAGATTAAATCGTGTCAGTACTTTCTTTAGTCCCTTCATACCTAATAGAAATATTTTCGAACTTCCGGTTGACTTTATACCGCATATTTTGGCCCATATGTACTCATAACAATATATCTTTGTGCCTAAAATATTATTAGACGCAAACTTGACTTAGCCCTCATATAACCAATATCAATATTTTTTGAACATTCGGCTGATTTTACTTCATATGATTCGTGATGGTATGTGAGGTACCTGAATGAAACCTTGGGAGCATTTTATTAGTCTGTAGCATGTTAATAGTATGTGGTATTGGCAAAAATAGATAAAATCGGATTATTACCCTCAACCTTCATATACTACATATAATGATTTTCATTATTCTAATAAGGTATTTTCAATGTAATTTCAGCTGACGGGAACTAAAATATAGCAATAAAACTAAATCTAAGCTTATGATCTTCAATATAAGTTAAGAAGATACTAAATTTGATTATAATCCCTTCACGATTTCAGCGAATAACGTATGCTTAAATCTTTTGCAACATTTCTTAATATAAATTAGCCAGTACCTAAACTCTAAAATTGCTCTGACAACCGTGTTCTAAAATTATTTACGAGTAAAAGTTTTCAAAAACCTTTACTTTTAGTAAACAAATTTTAATTCCTCACATTTTTAAACTTGTTTATGATTTAATACATACCTATGTAAAACCAACTTAATTGAACTTTTATCCACAAAAAACTATGCTTAAATTATTATGTTTTTGTTGTTATATTAATTTCTGTGTTTATGTTATGTCACATAGCAGCTGTCACTATTCATCAAAAATATTTGCAATAAATCAACGAAATATTAATGTTGCGTTAATAAACAGTTACCTTAGGGACGTCATTTAATTACCCCTTGTGCACTGTTGCGTCACATATTCCAAACTTATTTATTCATTAATTCAATTTCACTATGTTATAGTATTTTCGAATCTTTTTCACTTTTTTTTATATTCTAATTTTTTGTGTGGAGAATAATCGTCATTTGCCTTTATGCCCTTGTTATCCCATCTTGTTTTTGAGATCAGATCCCTTGTGTAGCTATTCAAAAGCGCCTTTGTGTAAGCTCTCTAACACACACACACATACATAACGCATGAATGGTGCATCTGTGTGTAGTTGTAGCATATCAACAAGCGCCTTTGCCAATAGAAGCAAACACGGCTAAAGCATTGACAAAAGACCAACTGAACTGTAAATATTCATACATGCCGCCAACTAGTTACACATGCACATACGCACAAGTATATAGAAACCTATATAGGGATCTGCCGTACCACTGCTATGACCTTAGAAGTATGTGCGTGTATTGGAGTTGCTACAGCGAGACTGACACAAGCAATGCATAGAAATATAAAAAAAGAAAAAATCTAAAAAAAAAATTAAAATTCTTGCATTCAAACTATGGAAAAAATTCATGAAACATTTTTAAAGCTTCTTTACGACCTTTTTCTATATCCATATTTATCTACATATGTATGTCTGCAATATGTTTGTAGTTGTAAAGTTATTGTGTTGATAGAATGATGTTATAGTTCCCATAAATATGTGTGCGTATAGCGAGGCATGTAATGAATGCGTAGAATGCTGTCATATAGATTTCTTATATTAGTTGGTTGCTTTTGTTATTATTATAAAAAAATAGCGTGCTCTAAAAATCTACTGACTCGATTGGCAGCCGCCGCAGCAACCACATCGAAATTTTAACCGCTACCATTTGCCTTTGTTGCGGTTGTCGCTGTGACTGACATGCAGATTGCAAATAGTGCGAATATTTTCGACATACAAGCATTTTCCTTTTAAGTTTTATATTCTAGGTTTAGTTTTCCGCTTTTGTTATTTCACAAAGTTGTTGTGCCTATTGTGTATAGCTTTTATCATGGCTTTGATACTAGTTGAGCGTATGTATTCCACGTGTAGCCTTGACACACGCTACGAGGTTGTACAATATTTTGAATTTATTTATTTATATGAATTTTATTTTAAAATAATATTTTTGCTTTAACATTTATATAAACATTTTTTTTATCGCTTTGCAGCTCCTACTATTGTTCCTGCTTCCCCGGTTTCAGTGGCACAGATTGCGGCCGTGGTCCATTGTGCGAGGATCCACATACGAATGTATGTCAAAATGGCGGCACATGCAAGTGAGTATTGAAGTTATAAGTTAAGGCAATACATTTTAGTAAGAAAGATATTTATAATTAAAATGTCAAACTCGGCGTATAATGTTAAAATTTTGAAAATAATTTTAAAATAACAACAATTACAGGTCAATATAACTTTTGAATTATATTAAAGTATGTGTGATGAAGTTACTTTTTTTAATCGTCGCTTTTATATGCTAATGTCTTTTAAGATTATGTTGCTAAAACGTATGGAAAAGTTTAAGAATATATACTCAATTTTTGAAGATAAGCCTTAAGTTACATGCAATTGCCGACGCCACGAAAAATAATGTACGCCGCTGCTGTTGTGATTTCGGCCCTCTCCGTGGGAAAAAATAATAATAATCTTACTATACATAGTGGGTTCTTTCATTGCTTTTCGGAGAGAATTTACCATAGTAATATAGTATATACCATTAGAAAGTAGAGATTTCAGCAAATATTAGGCTTACTGACTTTTTAAACAAATTTGAAATTTTGACTTGAGAATTTTTGGTTGAAAATTTAATGTTTTTCGATATTGTTAGGATTTATTTCGATAATATAAGGAGTAAAAATTAATATAATATTTAGAAAAGGTAAAGTTAAAAGCACAAAAACTTGGTTATTTAAATTTTTCACATACATTTTAAGGTAATGCCAAAAAAGTATAAATACAAAAGTTATTGATCTTTTCATTGCCGACAACATTGCTTTATAACTTTTTCCATAGGACTCATAGTTGTGCCGCAAATAGAGATAAACCGTTTAAAACCCATATAAAATAAATCACGCCCCTCTCCTTCCTTTTCACGAGCTCAGATAGCCCACTAATTATTTTTGCTTTAATATTTTCATTTTATCTATCGTTCCCGATTAGTTTCAACCGTCTATGATTTTATTTCTTTTTGATCCATTTTAAAGGCCTCTGCACTAGTCTAATTAGCAAATTCATGTCGTTACGCACAAAACAGCATGACAACGTTGATTGTTGAACAACACTGTCGACGTGGCACTTCATAAATTTTCGTGTGTCGTGGCATGGCACTGAATGTCTTTAAACAAATTGTTATATCCTTTTTTGTAGTACGGTGCAGAACTTGGCTAAGTTGTGTACGAATGAAGGCAACGATTGTAGCTACACATTTGAGGTGCAAACACTTTGTTACAATATTTTGAGGTTTACATAGTGGCCTTAAAGCAAAGTTTACATTTTCTTAACATTTTACATAGTGGCCTTAAAGCAAAGTTTACATTTTTTGAATATATTATAATGCCTATCAGAAGATGAATTAAATTGAGACGACAACATTTATATAAAAATTAAAAAAAAAATACTTATATATGAAATCTGAAGCAAAATATTTACACATTTTTTTTAAAAATCAGTAAATTTGTAATGATGCTATTATCTAAGCGAGGTAATATACACGCCATCCTTAAGGTTAGGTATGTGACTTTGCTAAATCAAATGTTGCGTGACTGCACTAAATTATGAATTGTCGATTTTTAACACGGTTTTTTACTAAACTTTAAAAGAGTATTGGGCCAAATTAACCAATAAATAACTTTTTGTTATAAGCTATACAGAAATTTTCATTTATCATCATGAGCTTTGACTGCTAAAATCATTGTCCTTTCTTTCTTCATTCTTCTTTTTCCAAATGGAATATTATTTTTCTGACTGAGATAATTTAATTTTAGTGTATTTTTCACAGTGCATTATAATGGTTTCGCGTTGTACATATATTTGAGAGTTGTTGAAGGCACTCGCTTTTGATGAAATAAGCGTATGATTTTAGGTGCGTGTATTCGCCAAATTATGCCCAAATGTAGACAACTATTATCTTTTGTTCCATCACTGACAATTTATTTGCTTATTGAGATAAAAATTCAAAAGGAAAATAACATTATATATTGGCTTAGCTTCTGTCCAATGACACTAATTTGTCTCCAAGTTGACACCTATGTCTTTTATGTGTTCTACTATAATTTCTACAGTATTGTGAATATATACTATTTTTCTGCCTTGATTTTGCAGCGTAATTCGCGGACATGACTGAGTTTTTGACAGTAATTGAAAAATTTGCGTGTGACACTCTAATAAAGTCACTCATACGTCATGTCCGACAAATTAATGACGCTAATGCTTTTTTTTCAGGATTTAATGGCAGTTATTTACCGGAGTTTCATTTACAGAAGATTCAGTGCATTGCAATACAGCTTTTAAATTAATTCTATATCATATTTGTCATTAATACTCCCACCCTTCTAGTCCTAAATGTACTTTGACATGCAAATTTCTTGAATTTTTATATAACACCAAGGCGAATACGAAGTTTTTCCCCGGAAAGCGGCGAATATTTTCTAAACAAAACTAATCGTTTGCTTCTTTTACAGTACAAAAATTTATAAAAATTCACTTTCGTATAAATTTGCATACACAAAGTGAATTTTGCGTTAGCAAATTGAGCAAAATACACAAAAGAAAGGGGTGAATCATTAAATTTGGGAAGAAAGTGAAAACTAAAAATGCGCGGAAAAGAAAATCAAAAATGCAGCTAAAATACAATATTCATTTACACTTAAAAGCCAAGCGACTTGCGAGTGGTGTGCAGTTTTAGAAGGTGAAATTGGGTGCATAAAGCAAGCAAAAGGATTGGTTTAGTTAAGTAATAGGCGGGAAAGCAGATACAAGAAAGTGGGGTAAGACTAAGGACACAAAGCCTTTGAAAATGTAAGTATTACAAAAAAATGCGAGGAAACCGCAAAGAACGCAATTTGAAAGAAACTGTAAGCAGAAAAAGAATATGGCAAGAAATAAGCAAAAGCTGGCGTAAAATCTGTGAGGGACATCCTCTTTCAGAAGAGAGTCACAATAAGAAGTGAAAGCAGCGTAGACTTTTCATTTTCGATTTTTGTTAAAAAAAAGCCCGCTGAGGTATCAAGCGGCCCTTTCAGTTTTATATCTCTACATACCGTACAATAAAATTGTGAGACTTTCAAAACACAATTCCTTTTCCGAAAGTGAAAATTCGACATTTATACATATAGGTATATACGGTTACAATTGTCTGAAAGTAGCATAAGTTGAAATCACCAAATTTCTATCTGAAATCATACACACAAAACAAGTTTCATCCTTATAAAAATAAAAATGTTTAAAGTCATATTTTTAAATGATATGCAGACCTTTTTCTGATACCATTGACTATTATATTGCAAACATACTCTCTAAATTGTTAAATATTTTTCTGCAGCTCACTGTCTGAACTTATGAAAAAAAACTAAATATTTTTCAATGTTAACCTTTTAAGTGCACTTATGAAGTTTATAGTATGAACGACAAAAATTATTGTTCCTTTCAATGACTTACGCCCAAAACTGCTAAGAGAACAATAACAGTAGAGACGGTTACTTATATTTACTTATATGCTCACTACCTCCTTAGCAATTCCTTTTATATTTTTTGTGTTTTCTTTTCGCCGCTTTCCCCATTTGTGGCCATTATTGGCTTTTGCGCCTTTCCAAAATCGCATTTCACTTGCTTTATGTTGTTCATACTCCGCGGTGCTCGGCGACACCCACAAGCCAATACTATGCAAATGCAATACCAACAAGCGCTGGCAGTCTGAATGGGTTTCCGTCATATTTCGCTATGCGCGTGCTAAATTAAATTGTAATAAAAGTTTTATTTTCCTTCGTGTTGAGGGCAAATGTGAATATATTACAACAAAAAACCGTAAAAAAAATAAGTGAAAAACTGTTAAATTGTAAAATTTTATTTATGCATTACATATTGCTTGAATATGTAAGTGTATGTGAGTGTATTTGCCCACCAAGTAACGCAACATCTTCCATGTGATATATGGCAAAAGTCAATTGTGCTGACAGCTTGTCAGCCCCTCGAACCCGCAGCCGACGGCCGTTGTAGTTGTTGCTTGCTGCCTGCCGGCTGTCTTTGCCAACTGATTGACTGGCAGTCTGCACGAGTGGCACTCTCTGTGTGCTTCTCACTAACAGACAGACAGGCTGTTGATATGCTGAATTGTATTTCATGCGATTTTATTTTATTTACATAGACTTATATATTTGCCGCCTACTACTTTTGTGTGCTCTTGGCAGTGATCGTGTGTTGGGTGCACATATGGCTCGGCAGCTGTAAATTTCCATTCGTTTTGATTTTTTGATTGCTTCGAAGTGGGAGTGTTGGTCCCATATAGGGTGAATGATATAACATTGTAATAAAGGATTGCTTATAGTCTAGAAAAGAAAAATATAAACGGAAGGGAAGGACAAATAGTAGTAGATGAAAAATATGGCTGAGGGACACTATGATAAATAGGAATTGTATGGAGAAGTATTGTATATAAAAAAAAGAAGAAGTATGCACGGTTAAAAATACAAGTACAAAGGCATAGAAGATCAAACGGGTTCTCGTATAAAGAAGATGATGACGATAAAGCGAGAGAAACGGATTCTTATACACAGAACACAGGAAAAGATGCATGCAGTTTTAAAAGAATGATTGAAAAAATTGAACTTTAGTAAAACAGTTTATTGTTATTTTAAATGGAAACCTCAGAGAAAGGAACGGTTACTTCATAAAAGTAGCTGAGAATGAACAACATTGAGCTGAGAACCACAGCAGTTGCTCAAATGCAAAAGATGTAGTCAGAGATGTTAATGAGGTAAATGTTATTGCATCAAATCCACCTAACACTTGCTGTAATTAAAATTTTAACAGACACCAGTTGTTGTTTAGAAGTATATTCAACTTAACACATTCTTCTTAACGGCGCTGCTTTGCCAGATTAAATTTGAATGAAAGTGGTTTTCCCACCTTCAGCCTAGGAAGAAGCTGAAAGTGAATCTTAAGTAAATTGAGATATTTAAATATATTTGTGGAGGGTTAAAGACTTATTGTCGATGCAGAGATCAAACTTCTGGTGGTGTTTGTTTGATGGATGTATAAGTGATAATCATATCAAGCATCAGCTTTAGAACCTAAGTGCTTGACAAAATCAAGAAGTATAGAAGTAAAGCAGTGATACGGATAAAAACAAGTGATCGTAAAAAAAGCAAAAGATAGTACTGGTTTTTAAAATCTAGCCTAATAAAGAGTAAATAGAAATAAAAAACAAGAGAATATGTTTACTTCGGTCCGAAGCTACAATATAATAATCCTTCACAAATACAAAAGATTGCTTACAAAAACTTTGATCGGAGAGTTTATAAGGTAGCTAAATGATCTAGTGACTCGATCTGAACAATTTATTTGGAAATTGTACAGTTGTTTTGGACAATAATCCATGACAAATTTATTGAAGATATCTCATTAAATGAAAACTTTTTTCATACAAGCACAATTACAAGATTTCGATCGTTCAGTTTGTATGACAGCTATATGATATTGTAGTCCAATCGCAACAGTTTCTTCGGATATTACATAACTGTTTTAAGTAATGACCCGTGCAAAATTTCGTGGAAATAACTTTTCAAATAAAAACGTTTTCACGCAAGTACTTGATTCCGATCGTTCAGTTTGAGTGGCAGCTATTCCAAAAAATACGCAATATTTGGCGGCGCTAACAGCAAAGGTCCTCCACTGGTGCAGTGATTCCGCCCTTCTCCTTGAATGAAACATAAAAAAAAAAATTCTCTACTGGAAGCTATTGTCCGTATAATGAACAACGGCGCAAAGTAAGCAAAATATCAATAAATGGGGGGCGTTTAAAAAAAAGTTGAATTTACCGAAAATTTTGATTGTTCTTGGCCCACTAAAATTCGATTTTTGATCAAATAAAAAACTGGTAAGTTAGTGTATGGAGAACTATGTAAAGAAAATGTAGACAAAATGTGATAGCGAACGCGTCAGTTGTCTCTACTTAATGAAGCAACTACGACAAATGTTGTTTTGAGAAAAACAAATGTAAAGATAGCCAATGCATGCATCTAAGTGATATTTGAGTTATAGATTTAAAGTGTATGTTATTTTTAGATGTATAATCTATGGAAGTAGGGATTTTTTAAGGTCACAGCAGCTGTGCACCTGAATGATAACATAAAGATTATATTACATAAGAGCCAATGCATAATTCTAGACTGCAGAAACAATTGTTAAAATTATTTTTTATGTTTGGTACAGCAAAAATTAAATAAATGCAATTTCAATATTATGCAAATATTGTCTAAATTTTCGCAGCAACTTTAACACTCAACTCTTTAAACAATTGCATTAAAAATGACTGCAAAACCCGTCTTTAAAAGCATGTGAAAGCAATAAACGCCAGAGCAAAATGAACCACAATTAAGTGGCAAACTGTTGAAAAAAAGACTTATTTATCTACAATTTCCGTTCTTTGCACTTTTAACCAACAAGCAACAACAATAGCAACATGCGAAATAATTCACTTTAGTGCGGGAATTAAATAACTGCGCTGAAACAATGAAAATACAATAAGAAAAAAAAATGTGGAGAATATGGCAAGACTGGCGCTAGCAAATGAACCACAACTGTTGTAATCCCATTGGCACAAAGGCGAAGAAAATTGGTTAATATAAAGATATAACTACGAAAAAACTTACTTTATAAGCAGATAAATAAGCCAAGTGCACACAGCTACACACACATGCAGAAGTAGACGAGCAGGCAGGGCGGCATGGAAGGGCTTTAAAAACATATATTTACATAAGTATACAAGCTTACGCGCTTGCGCTTACATATTTCAACTGTAATGAGCGCTTTTTCGTAAACATTTCATTTACGCTTGCCACTTCTTCTTCTTTTTTGCAGACACATTGGCGATGCGGCCATTACGTGCCACTGTCCGAGCGGCTTTAAGGGCACCAAATGCGAAATACCGGAAATAAATGAAATGACATTGGGTAAGTGCGTGTCATATGTACATACATATATACTTATATACAAATATACATACATATATACATTAAATTTACATATCTACAAGTGTATAATATGTGTAATTGTGCCTGTATAAATGTCTCCAATTCTGTTTGTTGTTAAGATGTCTGCTCATACACATTCATGCCTTGCTTCATTCATTCAATTCGTTGTTGTGTAAAATTGTGCCACATTGTTTGTGGTTGTTGTTGCTATTGAAATTTATTGGCTTTAAACAACCGCGCGGATAATGTTGTCTTGCTGTCGCTGGCAGCCAGCAGCTGCCAAACCGTTGAAATATCGCATACGCCGCGAATTGTTGCCGCCTGTCAGCGCAGTAGTCAGTTGTCTGCTGGTGCTGTGACGCATACTTACCGCAGTGCGCACGTTGCGGTGCACAACGGTCGCCAATACGACTATGGTTGACCAACAGCGTCGGCTGGGGCATTAAGAAGTTGTTGTTGTTGTTTATTTAATTAAGGAAATAATTAAGCATTAATGAAATATACAAATACGCGAATGCGAATGCGAGTACGTGCAGACGCCTCGGCTGAATGTTGCGTATACGCTGTGTGTTTGCAAAATATTACGTATACGCCATGGTAATGATGCATGCGCGCAAATATTTACTTTTACACACAGAAATGCGCTTCCATTGAATATTTCGTTGAACAGCCATAAGCTCCAGCACGTTTATACGCTAAAGTCAAATTTTAAATTTAAAGACACTTTAATACCTTCGGTATTATTTTTTGGTTTGTTTGCGCTGAGTAAAAGTCAACTTTCTTCTATACGAGTATGTTTTTATAAATATTATATATACATATGTACTTATAGTTTTTTGCTTTTAATATTTTTTGCTAAGCCGTCTTGTTTACTTTCGTTGAAGTGCATAAGAAGATTTATGGCATCACAAAAACAACACTTACGTAACTTACAGCATACTTTCAGTTAACGTAACGTTCGCTATGATTTATGTAGTGCCATATATGCACTTGTGTGTGTGTGTGCGTAATGTAATGAAATATGAAAGGCAGGAATGTAAAAAAATGCTTGAAGAAATACGAAATGTCGTTAGTATCATATTTTCTTCAAAAATATGTTGGTGATAATATTGGCAAGATATTGGAAAAATAATTTACTTTTTATATTATTTTTTTATATATTTGGGTTGGCTGAGAAATATTTATTAACTCGTGTCTAAAATTTTATTTTCTATTTTGACTGCCTGGGTTTATGTTGGAATTAATGCCGGAAGGGAAATATTTTAGTGGTTTTAATGTTTCAATTGCTGCAAGCGCCACAGGAACATGCCTATGCACAAAGATGTGATTCGCTATAGGTTGTTTGATTCGACCGAAGTCTTCACTTTATTTCTTTATTATTTATCACTCAAATGAATTTCCTCGAAAATTTTAAGAAATGTTGTTAGCTATGCTAAGTTAAACCTAAATTAAAGTAGGTTAGACATTAAAAAAAATGCTCAAGTTTTAATGGGCCATCTTTGCTAGATTGATTGATTTTATTTGACCCCAACAGTCTTTAAGAGCTTGATAAACGCCAGTATGCAGTTTACTCCACTAAATGAATGGAAAATGTGAAGAGAACTCGCAAGCTATGCTCAATTCAAACTGTGCAAAAATATTTTATAGGAAAATACTCTTATGTCAGCTTACTATATTTTAGTGAAGCTGTGACACTTAGGTATCGGAAAATACGCAAGAGAGCCAAGAGTTATATTGAAGATTGGGAACAAGCAACAATATTAAGCTAAGCGACTTTCACTCGTGTAGCATGAAGCTCGAACTGCAAGCGCTTGGAAACTTAAGAATTCTATAGAAGTTGCATGCATTGGATAATAAAAAACTAAAATTATTAATTAAGAGCGTGACAATAATTGATGGATACTATAAACTTCCACATGTATATATGTATATATGTACAAATATGTTTGCTCTTCGTCAAGGGTTCAAGGATAAACGCATTAGTGGCTTCACAGGCGTCAAGACACTTCTGTGTCAAAAACAAATACTTTGCGGTTCCACACACACAAAAGCAAACTAACAAAAGAACACCACAAACTAATCTGCCGTTAAAATAACAACACCTTAGCACACTTGAGTGAGTTGTTAAAAATGAGTGCAACTGACAAAAAGCGATTGTATATGAAATATTGCCACACGAACGACACATTATAGTGGCAAAAAAGGTGGCTATAGAAATGTCGAACAAGAAAGAAAGACAAGAGAGCAAGCACAAAAACTAAAACGACTATTTGAGCGCTTAAGCCGCGGTTAAACAGTGCGCTGAAGTAGCCGGGACGGAGTCAGCGAAAGTGTGTGTGTTCGCTTGCAGCATATCTACCTCTACGGCGACACGTGCGAAACATATTGAAGCAGAAAAAACAAAAGCAACAAAAATCTATTCAAGAAGTGGGCGAGAAGAAAGCATACAACTACTTGACAAGCCGGCGAAGCGCAGCCAGCAAGCAACAAAGGCTTGCAGGGAGTACACACGAGTGTGCTTACAACACGTGCTTTTTAACTGCACACACACATATATATATAAATATGTATATATATATATATATATGTTTTTGTAGCAGCGCTCTTGTCTGATTTATAATTTTGTATGTATGTAAACTTTTGTAACAAAAATCCAACAACAAAACACAGCATCCAATTTCGCCTGCTTGCTTACTTCCTTACTCTCTTATTTGCCATATGTCGCTGCCACTATCCTCTGGCACACACACACACACATGTACATACATACATCCATAACTATGTCTGCACGTGAGCAACGTCATACACGCTTCGGGCAACCATACTTCAGTTGAAGCTGTGGCAGATTTTAGATTGCAGCAAGAGCTGTTGTGACATTGTGCAATAACTGTTGAAACATTTTCACAGGTTATCGCATCAAATTGAATTTTCAAAAACACTTTTTATGGATTCCTTCTAGTGTGGATTGCTGTGTACTTTGTGTAAAGGTGTTAGTGTTAAACTTAGTTGGAAAAGCTATTTAGTTTTTGTTGCAAGTCTATGTATATGCAATTAGAATGTAAGCTTTAGAGTCGATATAGAATAGTAGAATGAAACTTAAGAACTTTGCATTAAAATGCAGTGCATTCAACAAATAACCTTTTCGTTTTCCAAAGTATATGGGAAAAAAATTGTAATTATTAAAATATATTATTTTGTTATAGCTGACGTCTACTAATTACTTGCTCCGAACTCATGCCTCCATGTTCATGGCTTGTCGTCTACGTTTGCAGCTTCTCTATAATGGTTAGATCACCTCTTCGCAAACGTAAAACTCATATACAAATACTTTTTAGTTTACCCTTAGTCCATTTAAGGCCTATAGGATGCTTTGCTAGAATGACTGCTTCAAAACGTTTACTATACTGAGCACTAATTTTTCTTATTTCTCGGCACGACGTTGATGTGTCACGAGCGACAAAAACTGACCGAATTGTAAGCGTCAGTGATTGCTACTGTACATGTGTTAATTGAAAAATAAAAACAGTTTACCGCGAATTAATCGCGCAGAGGAAAAACGTTATTTTTTGAACACACTGTATGTGGAAAAATTACTACGACGTTTATAAAAAATGTTTACGAGGTATATACAAGTAATTAATAGTTTGTTTTCCATAATGAAAAGCTATTCATTTATTTGTTTTTTAAGGAAATTATATAAATCCTCATAAAAAGCACATATTTCTTTTGTAAGTTTACTGTCATTAAAAAAATAACTGCTTTTTCATGTTGCGTTTGTCATGTGGCGGTGATATCAAACTTTCAACCATTATCTTACTTATTAAGATTGGTTCTGTAGAAGCGCTAAAAAGGGGATCCTAACAAAAAATACATACTAATATGCCGCTTAAGTTTCACCAATATTTCATATAACTGTTAAAGGTATAAGCTTGATAAAAACTAAATATTTATACATGATTAATTTGTAAATATTTTTAGAAAAACTAAATTTTTTTTATCACATTACATTTCTATTCCGGGTTTTTCTTTATAAACTGTTCGTAATACTCCGTGATTTTGAGTATTGAACAAGTTTCCACATAAGTAAATTATGTATGCTTATATTTAACAATATCGTTTTTTCTTTCTTTAACCAGGTTGTACTTCCAATTCCACATCGAGTGACTGTCATAAAGAATGTGATTTTGAACGCGCCGGTGAAGGCATCACACTGCGAAAGGCTAGTAAAATTAGTGGTAAGTTGAAAATAAAATTCTATACTATCCATAATAATATTAGAAAGAAAAGGTTTGAGTGTTTGTTTGCTTGAATTGAATAGGCTTTGAAACTATTTGATGGATTTGAAAAATTCTGTCTCTCTCTGCATTAACATAGGATATATTATATTTTAAAAAAAGTCAGGGCTCATTACTAAAAGACTAATAATGTAGCCAAAGGTGTAGTAAAATTACCTATAAAATTCCTAACACAGCGTGCACGGCGATTGCTATTGATTATGGAAAAAAGATAATGTACTACGACATACGGAACATATGTATAATTATCTACAAATATGTGGCGACAGCGTATTTCTAACTGTATAGTACGTAATAGTATATAGAATAGTGACGTAATACGTACGAAAACGATAAGTGTTCTTTTATTTAAAAAATAATAATTAAAATGCATCTTTTCGTAAAAGATCTTTATTTGTACTTTAGTATTATTCCTTATCAAAATTTATATAACTTTTATAACTTTTCGAATTATTTGATTTGGACATTCGATTTGAAAGATATCATGAACTTAAAAATGTAAGCATGTGAAGAAAGGCGCGTCCTGTGCGGCGATCCACTCGGCTAGGCTGCAACATAATATGAGATAGAGGCCTCATTGGGCCACGGTGGGGGAGTCAATGTAATGAAATAAAGTAAGTAAACCGTTCAGTTGACTTCCTCCGAAGCGGTCGTGTGCGAAATTGAATAAAACTAATATAGTCAATAAATAAAAGTTCGATGTTGACTTCTCATGGTCTATATGACCCTCTCCCCAAGTGGGTTGGGAAATGGAGTGATGTGCTAGTATTAAAATAATGTTTATTAAAAAATAGTTGAAATCTTAGTAATACAGTGTACTTGTATGAAAGCTCAGATTTCATGTCTTAAACTGTACTTTTTATCGAACCAATTTTTTCTTAAGAGCCCTTAGATTTTATGACTTTGAGTGAAAGATAAGAATGCTTGTATTAAATTTTATTTTTTTTAGCCTTTTTTTTCAATACCAAATAATATATATGTAGATTAGACTTTCTTTATATAACCGAACTAACCTTTTCGATATATTTTTTGATTAAAAACTTGAGGAAGTTTTTGCAAGATAGTAGTCTCTTTGATACCAACGGGGCTTACTTTCAGGTTTTGTCAACATTTTCAAGTTGATTTCACTTTATTTACCAAAAGAACTCTGATTTATTCAATACTTTTAAATATTTCAATCTAGGTAATTTTTTCTCTAAGTTATTACACTTTTCGGCTTTAGTTTTGAAAATTGTGAAAGTTGCTTAATCATGATATGGAATTAATTTTAATTCTATTTTTTTATAATTATAATTTTAGTCACTTAATTTTTTACTTTGTAAGTATGGAATATTATTACCTATTGTTATTTAAGCTTAGTCCTCATGTCAACTTAAAACTTTCTTTTCCAGCACGCAACGGTAAAACCCGTTATGAAGTGACAATACGCTTGGGCGCCAATTTAACTGCCTTTTATCGTAACATGGATCCCGAAAGGCGCCCAAGCGATCATCTACCGAGTTTGCTGGAAAGACATGTGAGTAGTAATTAATTTACTTTAAATATATGAAATTTTTATAATTTACCTAAATGGAAACTTAAACTATTTTTTGATTAAAAAGAAATTTTTGCAGAGAATGAAAGTGTTTCGAAATATTTTCTGGTCAAAAAACATATAGCATATTTTTCAGAGATGAAGAGGTTTTTAGGAGGAATGAACGGTAGATTTCTAAAATGCTTAAATTATATCACAAAAATAGTTTGTAATATAAATTTGTAAATAAAAAGTATAATTTTTGAAGGTTTACCTGTAGTTCTTAGTCTATTAATTTGATCAATAAAAGCTAAAGGTATATGCACGGTTTAGGAGAGTTAACTTCAACAACTTATTCCAATATTTATTTACCAGAAAATCAAATAATTGTAACCCTTCTTCCAAGACCCAACTTACTCTTAAATTTCCTATAATTATTGCCATTTACTAAATAATTTTGAAAGCAGTAATTTCAGTGTATGGTACTTTTTACTCTTCCTAACCCTTCGAATGGCCCCCAATTAACCGCAATTAAGCAGTCATACGATACTTTGAAAGGCTAATTAAGGTGGCTTAAAATATTCACTTCCTACTTGTGATTGAAGGTAACAAAAATTGTTGAAAGAACCCACAAAGATTCATTAACCCAATTAGCCAATTTGCGTCGTCATAAAATTTGCATTAAATTTGAGTGCAGTAATGGAAATCTTTTAAAAATCACTTCAATTTGCTGCTGATTATGTACAGACCTGTCAGTGCACAGAATAAGCTAAATGAAACATTTTTTCCGCTAATGACCGTTATTATTACACTTGAACGTCCGCAGTAAAATGTGTCAATATGTATATTTCTATATTCATTACCCAACCCACAGGTGATTTGCTGCGTAATAACCATTATTACCTGCGTATTGCTTGTTACTCTTCGCCATTTCTGTAATGATGTTGTCTTAACGATAAGAAAAAATCTCTATTGATATTAAGATGGAAGCCAGTGAGAGTTCAGATAATAAATAATCAAATTTTAATTTTATAACGGTAGCCATAAATACGCATAATCATGCCATCGGCAGTCTTTGTCTGATGTGCTGTTTAGGCGCCACGTGCCACAGCAGCAGCCGCGGGCACACAGAGTTGTTGTACTGTGGTTTCTTGCTAGCTGCTCGCAATACTAAAATATGTATTTTGTTTCGTAGCGTCTTTTATTACACTTCATTTGTTGCACAACAACAAAACCACCGCAACAATATGAGGAAGGCGCTGTCAGGCTTTAAACGAGTCTCCTTAATATTTTTATAACCCAAACAGGGTATATTAAGTTTGTAACATGCAGAAGGAAAAGTCGGAGACCCTATAAAGTATACATATATATATAATTGATCAGATTGACGAGCTTAGTCGATTTAGCCATGCCCGTCTGTTTGCCCATCTTTATATACGCAAAATAGTCCCTATGTTTTTGAGGTATCGACCTGAAATTTTGCACACGTCCTTCTTTCTCTAAGAAGCTGCTCATTTGTCGGAACCAACTATATCAGTTAACTATAGCTTATAGCTGCCATACAAACTAGCTGATCAAAATCACGTCCTGGTATAGAAAACTTTTTTATTTTACGAGTTATCTACACGAAATCTGGCACCAATTTTTGTCCAAGGCAACAAGCTCCTAAGAAATAGTTAAGATTGGGCCACTATAGCATATAGTTGCCATACTAACTTATCAAAATAAAATCCAGACAAATCTGTTTATACCCTTACTATTGAAAATGCACTTCTGAAGGGTATTATAGCATCGGTGCGAAGGAAGTTACCTTTTTCGTTTTTTGGTTTGCTATTTTAAATCCTCTTTACTCCAAATTATTTGCTGAATTTTAATACTTTATTTCAATTTTTAACAAACTACTCATAAATAACAACAACAATCATAATATTGTAGATTTTTGCTTAAAATTGTTACTGAAAATGTCTCTAGGCTACTTTGGTGGTTACTTGTTGCCACCTTACGGCACATAGTTTTTCGTCAAATTTAATGTTTCTTCATCGTTTGCGGACTGACTGAGCCGTTGTGGCGCATTCGCAATGGTATTGAGCACATTTCGTGCAGCACGTGCATTCCGTTCCAACGAAGACGACCAACTATTGCCGCCGCCACCTGCTCCACTACCGCCACCACCACCGCTTCCACCACCACCGACGCCGCCGCCGACGCTGTTGCTAACATCACTTCGTTGCGTTGACACACCATTCATGCCCGACTCCATAATTGTGGGCATTGTATTGGCACCCAAACTGCCGCCCATACCCGCCAGACCCAACGCGCTGCTCAGCTCCGTGCCAAAGTTGCCACCACTGCCGCCCGCGCCACCTTCGGCTGCTCTGAAGGAATGCGCAGAACGTGATGTGGGACGCCAACGATTTAATTTCACCGAGGTTTTGCGCTGATGTGGCGAAGTGGCCATCGTTGCAGCAGCGCCGTTCTTGACAGCCGCTGTGTGCTGTTCCAGCAGATTAGATACGAGCTTGTCGAGTGCCTTCAGGTCGACTTGTACTTTTGAGTTGCGTACGGAATTCATGCGGCTGCCGGTGCGACTGCCGAATGGCGAGTTGCTGTAGTCGCCGCCTGTTGGTTCGCGTAGATTAAGACCAGCCATGCGTGCTAAGCGTTGTGGCAGCTGGAAAACAGTAAGAGGAGAAAAGATGTTTAGCATAAGAGAGATTTTGAGATTTGAAAAGTTTGGCGCAAAATATTTGAGTTAAATTTTTTTTTTTTAGTTTAAGACATTGATGTTTTATGAAATCGATTATTTCGTGAAATTAGGAAAATATGTAGAAAAATATAAAGGAAATATGCTGAATAACATTTCTGTTATAGTGTTGCTTCAACATATTTTTAGTTTTTTTTAGAGCAAAACATAGCTTAGGTATCGAAAACATTTCCAAGAAGCACCCATAGATTTTATTGAAGTCTCTATCAGTTGGAATTCTTGAAACTAATTAGAGATTTTTCTTCGTAGTTTTCTTGCAATTCTTGCAGTCCTAAACCAGCTGCTATATTACGTTGCAGTTTTCAGTAGAAATGTAGTGTTGCCAGCTGCTTCATCCCGTTGGTTTTTGGAGTCGATGCTACTCTATTCCCAGAAAGTAAAAGCGGAAACCTAAGAGCTTTTGTATTGCTAAGGTTCAAGCGAAATTTTGCTTGCATCGTTCTTGTTTTAGTCATTATGGAAATAGTAGTGATTATGAATACAAAGAAATAGTATGTGTGTTGTCTAATATGACTCTTTAGCTGATTTGCTGTTCACCTTAATTGTTAATACCTTCTTAGGAAAAATGCAAGCAACTTATTACAAAAATAGGCAAAAATATGGCAAAGAGGAGAAATAAGCATAAATAAAGCATTTTTTTTATTTTCTAACCCCAAAAATTTTATTTAAAAATAATCTTGAAATTTCAAGTTTTAAATGCCGAATTGAAAAATTATAAAAAAGTAGTTAATCACAAACATTTATTAAAGATGAAAATCTTAATCCTGATAACCGGATTAAAAATAAAAATTTTAATTCAAAGTAAAAATTTGCTTTTTATTAGCTTTGTTAAGAAAAAGCTTTTACTTTTTAATTTCCGCTTTTGATTTGAAAAACTATCCTAATATTTGCTACTCCAATTTTTAAATTAAATAATATTTTAACCATTTTAATTTTAATTTTTTTTTATAATTTCGATTTGGCATTTAAAAATAAAATTTTATTGAATAAAAATAACAAAATTTTATTTTAAGTCCAAAATTTTTTTATTAAAAAATGCGCAAGCCTGTGAAAAGTCGAATATTTTTATTTAAAATTGGTTGCAATATTGTTCAAAATCTTAACAAAGGCTTAAGCGAGCAAAATCAGTCATACTGTGACAATAAAAAATGTTTCCAAAACCAAAAAAAAATAAAAAAAAAAATAGTACGTCTAGTGTCAATACCGAGCTTTTAACTTATTCTATTAAAGTGGTAGCAGCTCTTAAAATAGTGTTAAAATATAAAGCATTGCTTGCATATGCTCAGTTTCGAAATCGTAACCTCAAAATTTTTATATTTTTTCAGCATATACATAACCTCAAAAAATACAGGTACATAATGTTACATGGCACCACACTGTTACTCTATATGAGGTATGTAGGAAAAACATTTTCGTTTTTCTGAAAAAAAAAATTCTTCATTCATCTACATTAATGTTGTCGTCTTCAAAATTGTCCCCATTCGATATTATCTTATGCCACTTATGCCAGCGCTTCTTTCAATCGTCGAAACACATGTCAACTCTCATTTTTGGTATAGCCTTTAGCTCTTTCAGCGATAAGCTTTCAATGTCAGCTATGCCTGCCATTACGGCCCTTTACGTCGCCTTTAAGGTTCTCTTTATTTTTGAAAATAGAAAAGTGTCACACGGAGCTATGCCTGGCGAGTCCGCGACTACGCAATGGACGACTAAGCGGTGAGCGACAGAAAACTAAGGCATGAGAAATGCTATTTAAGTGGTTCCACAATTTTTCAGCGCCAGAGTGGCGCCGCTCTGGAATAAAACCTGCACTGGGTATACTAAATTTACCTGTTTAGCTTTTATTATAGCGATATTCTTTCATTGATATAGCTGTGTTGATACCTGTATCTGTATGATCTATGATCTGTAGTTACTTTCTGCCAAATTTCATTTGAAATTAATTGCGTTATAAAGTCGTTTCGATATTTTAGGATAATTTTAATTTTTTGATTTTTTTTATACAAAATGGATTTCGACCCTTTTCGACGTGTTGTTGTTTGTCTACTCACAGGTTATTGCTTTCACAATCGAAGAGCCCTTCTAGCTTGATATACTTTGTTTCGCTTCATTATATTTTTGTTTCTTACAATTTACTGTTCGCTTTCGGTTTTTATTTTCCAACTCTGCACCTAAATGAAGCAAGACTAGCTTTTCAAAGCTGAAACATTTTGCTTTGACTCAATTTGTCTTTTTCGGA